ACTATTTATCAACAAATTTACATCTAGAAATTAAAAAAAAAAAAACAATAATTAACTATTATATTCGTACAAATCAGACAAGTTATAAGTTTTTTTCACTTTTATGATATCTCGCAATCTCAATTAAAGACTCACTAACGTTCTCTTATATATATTTTAAACTGTTATTAGGAATTTAATCTTCTACGCTTTTTTCTTTTGCTTTTCAGTCCCGAGACTGATCGTGAAGAATATAGAGAAGTTGAAGTACTCGAAAAAACCGGTAATCTACAAATGCGTGAGATGCGGCAAAGGCTACCAATTAGAAACGTCCTTGCGAAGACATCAGAGATTGGAATGCGGCGTCGAACCCAAACACGAATGCCAGATATGCGGAAAGAAGTTCACGTATAGATTCATGCTAACTCATCATTTAGTGTCGTGCAAAAAAAAGAGATTAAGAGAAATGTTTTAGACAAATTTCGAATGTTGAGATGACAAAAGCTACGCTGCGATTCACGGAGAGTAATGCTTCTTCGTTTCGAAAGATACAAAAAAGATGATCGCAATACAATCTTGATATTTGGTATCATTTAGATAAGATTGTATCGCTAAGAAGTTGTGTGAATTAACTCTGAGTTAATTATTTTTATTTTTTTTTCTATGTTATAATTGTTACGAAAACCGAGTTATAATCAGAGTTAATGACAGTCAATGTTAGTGCAAATTTAACATATATGTCAGAACAACGTTAAGACGTCATTCTTAACGTTATACTTGTCTAACAGTCTTTAAATTAATTCTAGTAATGTACTATCACGTAATAACGCGCTTGAAAATAGTTGATTATAAAATAAATGTGTTTTGCTACAATTTGAATCCTCTCGAAGTGACGCTACGAAAATACTTTTTTCGATACTTATATATAAATATTTATATGTATAAATATTTACATGTAAAGAGTATTTTGCTATCTTGCTTTGCAATATTAAATTGATATAATAAAACGATATTGCGCGCGCGTTTTTGCGGACTAATATGCGTCTCGTTTCTAAAAAAAAAATCTTAAGCGCATCATTTGTTTAAATATTTCTTATTTTTGTCACATATTAAAGTATTATATTAATTCATATTACTATATAGTACGCAACTTTGAACTGTGTATTACAATTACTATATTATGATGTAATATATTTTTCATAATATATTAATTTGAGTATTCCGCGCATGCGCGTTTTTCGAAAGAACATTTTTAAAACAAGTAGCTTATTTGTAATAAGCTAATATAAAAATAAAAAGCTAATAAAAAAATTATATAGATACATTAATATTTATATATTATATGACAATGTTATATATTTCTTTAAATAATTTAGATTTTATCGTTTCAAAAGATCTGATGCTGATCAAGCGTTAATTGCCTACAGACCTTATCTGTTAAGATTAATTAACAAGGAATTAAGAATTTAGCATTTGTTGCTTAAAATTGTTTTTAGTGTCAAACATATAAAATTATTTTAAAATATTTAGAATTAGACATAAGAGAGAAAGAAAAAGAAGGAGAGAGTGTATTTGTAACTCAACTGTACATAGCATGTTTATGTAAACATATGAATGATAGACTGATATTATTTTAAAAAGACGCGATAAAAAAAACTGACGAAAAATGTGGTATACGCTGAGATTTTCACTTCTTGTTGTAAAAAAAAATAAAGAAAAGAGAATCTTCGAACTAAAATACCAAACTAAATGTACAGTTTTATTAATAAATTGCCCAAATATCGATAATATTAGAAAATAAAAACATCCTATGTTATATTTATTTAAATGATTTTTCCTACTCTTTTGACGTATATATATACTTGCCAAAATAATATCTAAGAACTCTAATAACAAAAAAATATAATTTTCACTTTGCACAAAAATTTACAGCTTGCCTTGCTCTTTTTCTACTTTTATCTTATTTTCTTTTTCACAATCTTCTTTCATAAATTACTATCTTTTTTACATTATTACAATTTTATCAACAACATTTCTTTTCAGCTTGTGAAAATTAAACTTCAGCTGTGCTCGTGCAATTTTCAATCAAAACTTGTTTCATTTTCCGATCGAAACGGAAGTCCTAACTGTGCGAATTTAAATATTGCAATGCTTGTCAAACACTGATAATAATAGACGAATCAAGGAAAAAAATCTTCGATGCATTAATTTCATAAAATACAATCACAATTAATCAATAATTTTCGTAATTTTTATTAATCGTAATTTTTAATTCTAGGTATTTTATAAATTTATTTTGTTCTATATTTTGTACGTTATTTTACGGGATAATTATGTATTGATATTACTAACAACTTTTGAGTGATATTTTTTAGCAATAAAATTAAATATATATTTTGTCAATAATAAAACAAAACTTTCTTAATTGGGTTTTGTTAATTTGCTTAATCGTGATTTTTCAAATAATTCTTAATCAAACTAATGAAAAGTTAATGACGTATAATCAACCCTCTTGTATCTTTAATAACTTTCTCGGAAGTTTATTAAAGATAAAATGATCCAAGTTATAATTTCAATCCATGCCTTCCACATTCGCATGTTTTTAATCGGAGAATCATTTAAGAATCAGTTCAATATCTAATCTCTCAATACGGAAAGTATTGCGACGACGACATAGCGCCAGACAAATCGCGGAAGTGCGTTGTCTAACCACATGTTGTCTTCTCGTTTCAGGTCTGCTGGCTTCGATGCTGTTATCGCATGACCATTCCTGGAGCCAACAGCGATTCGATGAGACAACATACAAGACGCCTAGGATTTCTCGGAAGAAGAACACGAGTGACATCAAATATGAGTGCAACAGATGCGGAAAAACGTATAAGGCCACGACGTCCTTGAGCCGGCACAAGCGGCTCGAGTGCGGCGTCGTGCCTTGCGAGGTATGCCCTATCTGCGGCCGCAGATTCAAGCACAGATTCGTCCTGAACGCGCATATTGTCGGCTGCGAGAGAAGAATGACCCAGACGGTGCAAAAAAAGGACTACGATTAAAGGCGGCGCTAATCAGCGAAAGAATGGGAGCGATCGATAACAAGCAACTGATCATCAATTGATGATCAGTGAATTATGTAAAATTTATATAAACAGGCGATCGAAATTCATACAAACATTCTTTTACAAATTTGTAAAACTAAAACTTTCTGCAAAATAGCACATAACATAAAATGAACACGCAGTCTGAAATTTTTGTCGTTGATTTGCAAACGTTACGTATATCTTCAATTCAAAAGATTGTAAAATTGCATTTTTAGGAAATTCATGAGTTTAAATCATAGATGCCAAGCAAAGCAAAACAAAAAGAGAAGAGCTCTCTAAATTTTTACAAAGCTTTGACATTTTCATTTTTCTATGCACGAAGATATTTTCAACTTTAATCTATATAAGAATTTATCATACGTTTTTTCTATTAACGCGCCAAGAATGAATGTGCGAATATATGTATATATGAATTTTCTTGAAGGACGAAAGTGATTGTTTTTTGCAAGAAATATCCGTTACGTACGTAATTATTGCATTTTGCGATCAAAATGCAATAATTATATGTATGAATATGGTGCATTTACAATTACATATTTAATTTCTTATCATTTGTGCAATTTAGTCATAAAATTGTAGTCAAATGTAAAGTATAATCAACTGTTATCTATAAGCCAAATTAAATATCGTTATTTTGACACAGACGGGTATTGTCCATGATACTTCGATGATAGATGATACAAATATGTATACTTCGTATTTTTTATTATATAATAGAATTATCTTGCAAAGTGTTTTGCAATACATTAAATGCGCGTAATACACTCTCATATATTATACATACTGAAAATATAAAACTGTTTAAGCACATGCTCATTAAATTTTACCTTTGCGTCATAGCAGTCTTCACATACACGATTCACGAGAGAGTACAATATTTTGTACAAAAATGTTAATCAAAAACCTACCAACAAAATATCACACACATATAATGTTTATTGAAAAGAAGCGTTGTAAGCAGCAAATAAGAAGACTGTAAATATTATTCCAAACTGTCTGAATATTAATTCCGCATCTTTTTTGCATAATTATTACGCATCTTCTTCGTGTCATGTTTTGTATTCTAGTGTTCGTTTATCTTGATTAAACGTTTTCGTTTATCAAGCTTTATTCCGATCATAAAAAGTGCACATGTAACTATCTCTTTTCAATTATATTTTCTACGTGTTTGGTCTTCTACATGTTTGTTTTCATGTTTTGTTTTTTTTTTCTAAATACGAAAGAAGACAATACTAGATATCATTTTTTAGCTTTTCTAATTAGATGCCGCATTAGAGGATCTACAACTAACAATAAGTCAGAAGTCGATCGATTTTTGTTTCTAAAATAAAATTGACTATTTGATAATAATTATTCAATTATATTAATAAATTATATGCAACTTACAGTGAAAAAATATATTTTTTGTGTCTCTTTCTTTCTCTCTTAATTTTGACACGTAACAATCTTTGTTATGAAAATATATATAGACAATATATTGTCATCGTTTATTGAAAATTGTACTTTTAAACAAATATTTTGGATGCAATTTTTATTGATGAATATTTTGCGTTTAATCTTTATAATCAATTTAGTTATGCAAGCAATATTTTTTCAACATTTTTTTTTACAGCACAGCATTGTTTCAATGTTTTGTTTAATGTAATTGCATTTCGAGATGTTTTTTGCTACGATATGAAATCCTATTTCCTTCTCCATTAAATTCTAATAACCTAAAACAGTAATTCAGCAAAAAACCATTTTTTTATTTAAATTCAAAAGTCTTGCGCTTTTTTCATCGAAAGCACTATATCTGTGGTCAATAATTTCACGAAACGATTTTCAATCATTTTCGCTCACGCTTATTTTATGTCAACAGGATTCAAAATGAGCAACGTATGGAGCATGGCTTCCTATAACTTCAAAGATACATCGGCTGATGTCCTGTTAAAAGCGAGAGGCTTCAACGAACCTGCATTATTTTTGACGAATACGGATAAAAACATTAATCAAAACATGGACGATTCGAACAACCGTCCGATTCAAGTCTTTACATGTAATTTATGTGGAAATGAATATACATGGGTAAGCAGTTTACGTCGTCATCAGTTGCAATGCGGTAACAAAGAGGCGAAAATCAGGTGCGAGTTTTGCTCAAAGAAATTCTACAGACAAGACAGACTTAAGGAACATTTATTAGTACATCATTCTAATGTGGCTGCCGATTGGGAAATCTTGCTTACGAAAACGTGAGCTGAAAAAAATGAAGTTGCGATCCGACCGAGATCGAAAAGCGCTTAATGTTTTATGTACGCGATACAAATTTATATCTACATTTTCTTTTAAAGCAATACGTTTTTCTTTGTATACATTTCTTTTCATATAGGTATAATATGTAAAGATGTTTAATATATCTCTCTGCATGAATTTTTATAATTCACATTTCTTTCCATAATTGAAAAAGCTGTTAGATTTGATTTTGATTATATGAAAGATTGCGTTAATATCGCGTTGAAAACAATTATTAATACACAATGATTAATCTATGTTTTGTATTGTGTATACTGAGCATTGAGAGACATAGACTTATTTTAAGTATTTTCTTTTCTATAGAAAACTATTTGAATAATATGATAATATTGAACACTATAAGTAGTGTTGCAATAATTGTTACTTGTTGTTACAAATTCAATTGTTTAATGTCTAAAAAAATTTCAAGAAAAATTTTGATAAATAACATATTTTGTATTTTGCTTTTATTATTTTTTTCAATCGAAATATATTGCCAACGAATAACGTATAGTAAGAAATTGAGAAGATATATATATATATCAGGATGATATGTATTTTCTCGAGAATAGGCGCACACAAATATGTATATGTAATAAAATTATACAAAATCGATATAATTAATTTCACAGTATTTATGGAAATTCACGAAATAATATTGTCATGCAATAATATGCGCGATAAGAAGAAATATAATGTATTTTATGATAACACTTTATTCGGATAGAAAATATTTCTTTAGCCGTCTGACAGCATAATTCAATGCTTTCGGCAAACACTTAAGCTCGATTTTAAAGTCAAAGCAAGATAGAATATTTTTCTGCTGGAGAATTTCCATCTTGCTCGATCTTTTCATCCATGTCGCGAAATCTACGTTTATATATATCAACGTCAGTACATGATACTGCGATGTAATTAAAATTGTATGTACATTTTGCCTCCATTAGAGCTCGATAATTTTTACCGTACAAGATATTTAACACTAAGAATGTTTCCTCCATAATATTTAATCTTTGCGTGTTTTTTAATTCATTGCAACTTTATTTCATCAGCGTAAGTTTCTCAATTAGTACTTGTAAAGAGATTTTAAATTTTTTACAAGTTATATAATTATAAAAAAGGAAAATAAATATTGTATAGGCGATGTAATAATAGGATTGAATATATATATATATATATATATGTATATATATATATATATATTCCATAATTATATAATTAATTTTGATTTAATAATAGATCTAACAAAATTGCACTCTCTGATATATACATATATATCAAATATTGCAAAAATTCTACATTTTTTTTAAATGCATTATGCGTCAATGGATGTGTTCATTAAGTAAAGTATATATGTATACAGCTCTAGTACCTGATAATAGTAATTTATTAAGCGAAGTTGTGTACATATATGCGACGATTATAACTATTATGTATCTATCATTTATGTTTATAATCTTTTATTCTTAATAGTTGTTCAACTGTTTGCGTTAAAATTAATCATCAATTTAACTATATATATGCTGTACATATATGTATGAATACATGGTGTATGGATATGTGTACATGTATATAATAAAAAATATAAAAAATACGGATTGTGTGAACTAGTTGTCTTTAGTTATAAATAATATTATATTAAAATAAAAGGGGCAATTTTCTTAATGCACTTAATTTCATGAATACAAATCATCATCACTCCATGTGATGAATGATGTATGATAAATAAAGCCAATAAAGTGAATTAATGTATAAGATTTATAATCCGAAGTTTTTACTGCTGACTCCGTACATGAATCTTGTAGAAGTCAACAATTGTATTTTACCCAAATTTAATTTATATATGATTCCAATAAAAAAGAAAACTATTATATTTCCAAACGTAACTATCTAAACACACAGTACAGAATTTCTGTACTATACCACATAACGTCTTCCTCTAGCCTAATATCATCCTTCAATCTAGCATATGTGAACGAAGAATGTGTTGTAATTCATGAAGCCAAAAACTAGATATAATAACATAAAAAATATGAAAAATATAAACTATATGGGGAATCTTAATTTTATTTGTACTCAAATAATAATATTCAATAGTTATTAGCAGAACTGTAATTAAAAATTCAAGTATCATAAAGATATATATTGATTTAGCAATCAATTTCTACACTGAAAAATGTAAAACATTATTAGAGTATAAATCTATAATATTAACATTTAACGAATGTGTTAAATTGCGTTCTATATTTTATTGATGTAATGATCAATATATATATAGATTACGATATATAGATCAATGTTCAATTGTGTTATCGTTATCAGTTTCGCGAAAATAACAGAATCTTTTCCGTATTCTAGACGGTGCCCTGATGGACGAGCTTAGCGACTTCAAGCTTAACGCTAATATATCCCGATATTTCTTGAGTCGCGGCAAAGCGGCGGCACCGGAGGAACAGCATTTCATGTGCGGCGAATGCGGCAAGGGATACAAATGGATGGATAATCTACGGCGGCATCAGAGACTGGAATGCGGCAAGCTACCTAAGTGGCATTGCGAAATTTGCCAGAAAATGTTCTACCGTCGATACGAATTGACCAAGCATATGAACTTGAAGCATCATTTAGAATAATCGATTTTTTTCTCGCGACGAATGTTTTTTCGTTGAATAATCGTGACTATGATTTGTTGCATTTTTGCGATCATCTCTACGAAACTATATGATAATAATAAAATGTATCTCTTATGATATGTATCTCTTGTTGTTGCATGCACTATATTGAAATAAAGCAATCTACAAAAACGTTTCTCTTTCTTTCTTAAAAAATATCGAAACAATAAAAAACACACACATTTATAAAATAGATATTTATTTATATAATTTCTCTTCTTCTTTCGAAACCATCAATAAAATAATTTTTAATTATAAGATTGTTCTCTAATATATATATATATATTGAACATTTACTAAATTATGTCCATTACACTTTCTTATTTTCCACTTATAAATTTAACATGTCTATTGTTGATTCTCCTTCAAGATTCTCATATTCCCCTATCAAAGAAATTTCATATTTTTCCACTCGTTAGTAATAGCGTATTTACACATGATCACTTTTTCCGAATGCATGCGCTTATAGGATTTTTCCTTTGCATTTTCTTTCTGTCTCTCAGCTTCGCGAATCTCAGATGATCGAGATGTAAATCTAACGAGCGTTTCCCATTTTTTTTCTTATAGATGACACGGAACTATGCGATTGGTTAACCGAGCCGTTCATAAATCAGGAGTTTGATGAGGATATATCACAGAGCTGCTTCGAATTCGTGACCACCGATTACAACGAATTATCTCCTGAGAGTATGGAACATCGTCGAAAGAAGCAACTGAAAATTACTACGCTCATCTGCGAGGGATGCGGAAAAAATTTCTCGAGGCTCGACAGCCTTAGAAGACACGAAAAGTTATACTGTAAAGTGAAAAGCAAGCCTACATGCTGTCCCGTTTGCGACAAGAAGTTTGAGAAGCCATTATCTTTACACAATCACATAAAGAGTGCTCACACGTCATTAGTCAAAAAGGAAGAACCGGAATAAATTCTAATATTTTAGAATCGATCTATATTTAGACTTTTTCGAAATAAAGCAATCTACAAATAACATAATGTACATAAAATGTATTTTAAAGAAGAAGCTATTATATACTTTCAGTTACTTTGTGAATTTTTCCTCTATGTTTTAATCCGTTTTACATATTCTATTATATTATTATTTACATTATGTTAACAAAAATCTAAATTATACAACATCACCATGCAGTATTTTCAGATAATAGCGCGAATATTACTTAAATAGAAACTAGTATGCTATAATCGATCCTTTACGATCAGGAGGATTTTATTCATAGAATCTTATTAAAATATCTTTTGCGCTCTTTTATGAGATTATAGAAAAATATTATAAAGATTTGATTTTTACAACTTATAATAAAGCAGAAGATTAATATAACGATATCTGTACTTTAATTTCTTTTATTTTTTTAACTTTTGTAGAAGCTCCATATTTGCACATTCTTCATTTATATATTTCGTATTTGTATATTGCGCAATGTGTCGATATCTTCACTGCAATATTTTTGCATATTAAAAATCGCTTATTTGCGGATTAATAAAAATAATATGAAACAAATATATGTATATATAATATAAAAAGTGTGAAATTTTATAGTTAATGCTTTTATTTTAAATATTTCTAAGAAAATTGACTTTAATTTTTATTTTTAGATAGACTAAATAAAAATATATGAAAAGTTAGAAATAGTATTTTCCTTTTTTCCATCCATTTTTGCTTCCTTATAGAGGAAGCTTTGTTTTTCTTTATATTATCAATTTTTTCTTTTTTAGTATTTTCCTTTATATTTTTTTCTTTTCCGTAATTGCAATTTTGATATCCACAACAATTTTGCAGAATCGATCCTAAATAGATCCTAAACAGTTTTGTAATTTCTGCAAATATGGAACTTCTGTATTTTATACGTTTGATACCAAACATATACCTGTATATTTAAGACAAATTTGTAATTCACAATGTGTGTATATCAATATAAGAAAACATGATATGTCCACGTCATTATTTTTTTAATCAATAAACATCTATGAATTTTGAGAAGATAGATTCTTTACTGAATTTTTAGGTCCTAATCATTTTTTATTCAAAGTTATACGAAAAAATATATCGCACAAACCTCTTATTATTCTTCTTGTAACTTTTCGATAAAAAAAAAAATCTTCGAGAAAAAGAACACCTTTATGATTAACGATTGAAATTTTCGAGAAAACTTTAGTCTTTCTACAATCTTATATCCTACGATTACCAAAACCGAAATCAGAAGGTAATCCATGAGATAATGCATGCTGCTGGCTGTATGCTACTCGCTTGCCAGTCATTTTGCACGTCTGGCCTCATATTCTTATCTTTTAACAGACTAATATGTCTTTGCAGACGAGGACGTTCAGTGCGGCGCGGAGAAGAGCAACGATGAGGAATCAGAAGTCTGCGAGGTGCCCTTCCACGGTCAATTGAACTACCTGCTCTGCGACTCGCCAATCCTTAACAGCGTGGAAGCCAATGTGGTCCAGAAGAACATCAAGTCCGGTCAGCAGTTCCGCTGCGACGGCTGCGGTAGAGCGTACACGAGGGTCGATAGTCTGAAACGTCATCAGCAAAAGTGCGACGAGTTTCTAGCGTCGTTTCGAGATCGGCAGGAGACACTGGAGAGACTTCAACAACAAGAATACTATTGTAATCAATGCGGCAAGACGTACAGAAGGCTGGATACCTTGCGCCGGCATCAGCGATTAGTGTGTGGTGACAAAGAGAGTAATCATTCTTTGAAAGTGGACAAGACGAGCTTATAAGAAGAGATTTTATCAATATCGATTGATTTCAAACAGTTACAAGAGAGTGAGAGAGAAAGAGAGAAAATATGTGAGTCGTAATTAAATAATGCGATATTTAATACAAATTAGATTCACGGAATTAAGTTGTTTTGATAAAAATATATCAACTATGTATCTCAATTGTTTAAATGCGCTTTTAAAGAATTGAAATGTATTGATGTGCACATCAATGATTGATTTTATCATAATCAGATTATGAAAATCGATTAATTAAACGCGCGACATATGGCTTGAGAATAATAATAAGATTGAACGTAACCACTCGAGAAATATATGTTTTTATTGTATATTGTCGACGAAAGACGTAGCTTCATATTATATTACACGAATTTTATTAGGTGATATCTATGAGATAAGTGTGTACAGAGCAAGATTCAAAAAAGTAATATGTAAATAAGTCTTTATATTGTTCATGCGCGATTTAAAATTTTTATATATATATATATATATATATATATATATATATATACATATATGCATGTACGTATTCAATTTATTCTCCTCTATATATATAATTATAGTTAAATTTCTTTTTTTTTATAGACATCTAAAAATCACGAAAAAATAAAGATCATAGGATTTAGTTTATTTTGAAATAATTGCGACAATAATAACTGTGTAATAAATAAATAATGGCTTCTTAGATATCAAAAAATAATTATGTCATTTGTAGTTTCTGTGCGCTTCTATCTTAAGCGAAATGATTATATGTGCTATGTATATAGAAGTTTAATCACGAAATGAAATGTTATCGATTAAATCGAATAATATCAAACATATTCTATTCGCCTAACTTTAATCGCAAAATTTAATTTAAGTAAAAGAGATTTTTTTTTATACACGGATAGAGAACTAACAACGAAATAACTTGGAATATCACGTTACAGAGACGATATAAAGCCAAGAGCGTCTCATCGCTCTACACCGGGAATCTTCTTATCAGCCTCGAACTTCCTGATATCGGCTGCATGCCGTTCATTCATACATCTCGATCTCAAATTGAGTGGCCGCGACGCGACGCGTTTTCTTCGTAACTACAACCACGTTTTAAGCGATTCGGACATGTCGCCTAATCTCGGACACTCTGCTTTCTTGTCGCCGCTTGTGCAAATCATTAGAAAAAGTTATTGATTTCACATAGATAAAATGTTTCGCGTTACAAACACATCATCAATAAATAAAAATTTTTCTTCTAAGCAATGATTGTGAGTTCATTCAATAAACGATATATAAGACTAAAATGTGGATGCTGGAGAGGAAGGCGCGCAGCATCGGCCAAGAGCAACCGTTTGCCAGCGAGACATACTCGCCGTCGAAGGTGCACGACACTTTGGTGTCCGGTGATTATCCCGTCACACAGGCTCAAGTATACAGCGGGGATTCTTACGCGCCGATTATACGGACCTCGAATTACGTCTGCACCGATTGCGGCAGGAAATACAAGTGGCTGGACAGCCTGAAGAGACACCAGCGGGTGGACTGCGGCAACAAGGAGAAAAAGTTCTCCTGTCACGTGTGCGATCGAAAATTCAAATATCGATACGAATTACGAAACCATATCAGCGCGCATCACCGCGGATGACTTTCTTTCCCTTCCCGAACGTGATTTGTGCGAACAAGTTCGCGAATTAAAAGAGCGTATCCTGATATGAATCGCATCTTGAGGCGATGCTCGAAATATTTGTGATTGAGATTGAAACTGAACCGATTAAAACTGAGGACTTTTCGGCATGATGCCGATAAAAATAGATTCTTCAAAAAATGGAACTCTCTTTGCAACATATATTTTCTGTTCAAGTATTACAATGAAATATAGTATTACAATAAAAAGATTAAAAATTATTTATTTACTAACATTACTACGAATTGTGCGAATAATCTTTTTATTTATTGCATAAATAAGAAGTCAAATATATTTTAGTAAATAAAAATTACTTTTGTATTAAGTTTGGAATATTTTTTATATTGATATTTTACTATCGCGAAATTTTGTCCATAATAAAATTATTCTCCATAATAGAAATTGGAGAACACATATTTCCCAATACATTAACATCAAAATTTATTATAAAATTTCTTCCTATTTCCAAAAACTATAAAAGAAAGAATTGACTTATTTGACTTATACGTTAAAATACTACTATGTATTAACTATTATGTATTATATGTTAAAAATTAATCTGAATGACCAATGAATAATATAGCTAGGAACGTACAAAGAAAAATATATACTGTATTTATGTATCAAAAAGAAATGATTCATCTGTTTCTCTTAAAGTTTTTAGCGAAAATAATCAAAACTATGTATATACGATCAACTATA